CAGAGAGACAAGTGTGTTGTCATACGGGGCACTCGGGGCCGATATCACCTCTCGGGCCTCCCATGCGCCCTCGGCCCCGCATTGAGGCGCATATCCAGCCCTCCAACGGAAATCGGCCCTCTTGCCCTGCGTGACAACACATACATGTCTGCTGGCCAGGGGGCACTCCCTTTTACCACAGTGCCCAAGCATTTCCGAGACAAAACTCATTTTTTGTGCACAAAAAGGAAAAATATGGCACAATTTTCCAGAGGCTTCCAATAGACCTTTATCACGAATATCCGGGTACTCCTGAAAGAGCCAATCGTTTGCGAAAAAAGAATTCTAAAACGGTTATGCCGAGATGTATCAACATTTACTGTTATTTTCAACAAATGTATGATATGTTGCAATCGGACACAGTAGTGCGCAACTACGTGGCAAATTTCAGAGATGGCTCGTACTGCGCAGCTACACAAATCTCACCAAAGACACGAAGTGATTTCGAAAATGGCGCCCAAAATGCGCAATATATGTGCTTCCCCGCTAAAAACCGACACCGAACAAAGGCCATCACGTTCGCAACTCCCCATCTCTCCTACCCCAACTTCCCATCCCTCAATCCCCAAACTCCCCATCCCTCTTATCCCGCACTCCCCATCCCCCTCAAAACACGGCCTCAATTACCGTCGAAAGAGCAAAGAGTTCCCTACAAATTCTTGCAGAGCTCGCCATCGAGCGTCAAAATGAGTTGCAAAACTAAAGTGACCCGATTCATCCTCCCTCCGATGACGATAATGGCACATACGCACCGATTTTCGATAAGTACTACAAAGCCCACGGCTCGCGAGGTATCGTCGAAATGATTAACCTCGACCCCTTGCAATTCGGAGGCATATGGGCTGGCTTTGAAAAATTCATCCTCGATCATTACAACACTGGTCATAGTCGGAAGAGCACCGTCACGGCCAAGGACATGCTGTTTATGACTATGACAGTCATGAAAATGGCAGTGACTGGGCATTTCTTGGAAACATGTTCAATTTCAAAGGCCCTACCGTGGAGCGCATGATTTGGAATTTTGTTGATCTCATCTGCGATGCGTTTTACGAATCGTACGTTGAGTTTCATGCGAAAACGTGGACGGTGAAGGAGCTTGTGAGAAAGAAAATGTTTTTCTCACGACCCTATGCCGCGATACGCCACTGATATGATATTTGAACCTTGCTTTCGCCCTTCCGGAAGCGTACAAGAGGGTAAGCGCTATTATAGCGGAAAGCATAAGATGTACGGCTATAAGGTGGAGGTCTCCGTCTTACCAATTGGACTAGCTATCGGATGCAGTGATCATGAGCCTGGGTCTGTCTCTGACCTGGTTATGTTTCAACAGATGCAACGGTGAAACCGAACCAATTTGCAGAAGCAAAACGACGAAGACACATTGGAAGACGATGGGCCTCTTCGGGGAAGAATTTCAGGACGCTTGGGCAGTGCTCGCCGATAAAGGTTAAAAAGGCAGTGCCGAGTTTTGCAGGGTTGTGCATGCCAGCAAAAAACCCCACAATGGTGCTCTATCCCCTGCTCAAATTCAACAAGTCGGCATATTTCAAGCGACCGTATCATCGTGGAGATATATTTCGGGCGGCTTTGTGGAGCATGGACAGTGCTTGGGAAAAGTGGAAGTGGGCGGAGGCTAGGTACGACAGTGTTTTTTGCTTGTGTGTCGAAAAAAGGTTTTCATGTGAACTGCAATCCATTGCGGGCTGATGATGGGGCGATGTTTAGGCAAATTGCTAATCGTTGGTACTCTATTGGGGTGTCCCGACATGAAAAGAGACGTACTGTGCAACGCAATTATCGCGAAAAACGACAGCGTCGTATGAATGTAATGTTTCGCGCGTCTACCGTTCCGCAGTACCCAGATCGCCAGCCAAGGTATGATGACATGCAGTTGTAAGGTTAAGACAGCGGCGTTTGGCAGTTTTGTCGGCTTTTGCGTAATTACTGTGGTATAACCCCAAACGGGAATTAGATTAGGATTGGATCAGGGACAGTAAGGCAACGAGCCTTACAGCCATGCGCGCACACACATGTCCTCCACGTGTACGGGACGCGTACTACACGTGGACTGTCAGTCCCGCCGGCTGACAGCGTTATAGTGTCGGTAGACCGGCACTACTGTAGAGCTTTGATAGACTACAATGTACATTAAATATGAGCGGACCGCTGGCGGTGGATGACGACAAGCAGGGACTTGTCAAGAATCCTCCACCTTGGTCCGCCCGCTTACTTTTAGGTACTTCCGTCCGTTTTACCTAGAAGTCGCACCGGGCGCGGGTTGAGGACGCGCGTAGCACGCCCGCGAGCCGGCTCCGCCTCCGCCCGTCGGTACTGGATCGTCACCCAGTACCGCTCCGGGGCGTCGGGGCGTAGAACCGCTCGCGCGTGCGCGCGTCCTCCCCGATCCCGCTCTACCACCGCTACCTCGAGCCCGTGCTCGGTACCGTGGGTGGGCCGTGCTTCTGTCTTCCCGCCGATCGAGGTCTTTCCGAACTGTCAGTACTCACCCCCCTCGTCGTTGGGGGTGATTATACTACAATTACTTTGTCTTTTTAAGACTTAGTCATCATTTTAGAAGGATATGAGTAAATTTGATGACGGTATATCACCTGATGAGCACCCAGTCTGTACGATTATGGCACGTTAAATGCACCATCACTAAGCCTTTGAGCACTCGTCGCCCATTTGCACTTAAGACCTAATACTTTACTCGAGGGGTCCCCTTATTATGAAACAAACACAAAGATATTTAAAGAAAATATACTTGCGCTGGTCTGTTGGCAGCAATATGCCGGCCATTTGAAAGCTGTGACTCTGTCCTGTCAGACTCTGAAAAGCAGAAGGGCTCGAAACGGACCACTCAACGACCAGAATCGATTTACTGCTTGCCACTCAACGCTCGCAATGGACGGGAAAGGTCCCTAAATGTGGATCACGGCGAACGCTCGTGTATCACAAAAACACGTTTTGACCCCTAACCGAGATTACATCTCCCGGATATCAACCGCTTTTTTGAGCAACGTCCGCTCTCGCGCGGCAGCCGGCCTCTCCTTCATGGAACCGGGAAGAACAAACTCCTCATTTCACAGCGCGGAATGGTGGTTTGCGCGTGAATGATCCAACTTGCGGCGGTCTTGCCTTTGCTGCCTTGCCTTCAACATAAACCTGGCATTGCCAGACACCACTTGGTTATATTTCCTTTCTTTTTTCGGGCGTCATTCTCTTCTTTGCGACGAATCAGTCGCAAAGCTTCATTGCTTGTTAACACAAGTCCTTGTTTCGTATCCAAATAGCCTTTTCTCATAACAACTGGCGCAACAGTAGATCCCTCACGTCGCCTCTTTCGCTTCTCCTTCAACAGCAATTCCATTTCTTGAGGCGAGACGGCCACAGAATCGCAGGTCTCGTTGAGCGGACGATGAAAGGCAATAAGCTTGGCACTATCAAACGGATGTATCCCGGTCTTTGCAAACGATTTTCGAATAATATCCCCTGTAAACACACAAATATACGCTGACGTCATGAAGCGACAAAGATCAAATACATCGAACACGTTGTCTGTATAAAACGAGCAAACGCGCTTTATTGTGGTGTTAAGTTGCGACTTGAATAGCTGAAAACGCCAACTTCCACAGGCTGAGTAGAGCCGCTCGTGTGAGCTGGTAAAGCAAAAGCTATTATGCCACCCTGCTCGAACGTTGTCAACGCTTGTGAGCTCATATGGCTACGATATGCGTCATACAGGAGTAGAAACTTTCTGTTTCCTGACGTTTAGTCTTTCACATCTTCGACAAACTGTTTAGCTCATTCTATAAAAATATGTTTGTCCATTCCCCCACCATCTTCACGCATGAACACCAAGCTGTTCCGCGGTTGGCACTCGGCCAAAGTCTCTGTTATTTCAAAACCATTCTTATGGATTATTCTATATGGCTGTCGTTTACCCTTGAACACAAACGTGGGTACCCGCACTCCCATCAGAAAAAATGACTGGCATGAGCGTAACACGATCGTGATAAGTGAATTCAGCAAGCTTTTGTTGAATGGGTTCTGAACGAGTTCCATCATGCTTACGCTTAGATAGCCCAAGTCCGTCCTTATCCGGAATTACACCAGTTTCATCTAGATTAATGATGCACTTACTGTCCACGTTATTTTCGTGAATAACGCCTTGAAGTTCAACAAGGTAAGACGTCAAAGTTTCCGTGTTAGTCGCCGTAAACCGTTTCGCATCTTGAACGGACGACTTTCCGAATTTTAGCCGGGCCTTGTGGCGTTTTTCAAAACCCCGAGCGAATTTCACAGTTGTTCTGGCGTTCTTAAACAGAATATTTTCACGACGGCTTGGTGGCATGTTGGAAACAAGATTTTCAACGCAGTAGAGTAGATCACCGCGTTGTAAGTGATAGCCAGGATGAGCGTAGCGAAGTAATGTGCAGACGATAACATCTTCTTCGCTCTTACTCAATGCAGTCGGGTGGCCTCTCGGGCGAATGGGAGCAGGCTTTGTTACTGCTGATTGGAGCCTGTAGTGGCGATAAAACGTGGTTACGGGGAGATGGCACCTTGCAGCTGTGTTTCAAAGTTTGCTGTCCTTAGACGAAACAGCGGCGAAAGCGCTGAGATTAACGCGGAGCTTTCTCGTTAAGCGGTAATACATTAAGCGCGCCTTTTCCTCCCCCTTTTTTGCGCGAATTTAGTATCTTTAGAAAGCTTGGGACGTGTACTAGAATTTGGAACGAGTCGGACGTTGGCGGCTTAGAGCATCTCCAGCGCTGCAGCTAAATCTGTTCCAATTAGGACGCGTGTCAGTTTTCTAGCTGGTCGCTGTCTTTGGGCGCCCCATGTTCCAAATCGTTTGGAATGCGATATGCCAAATGCGCTGCTCGTCTCCATCGCGCGCACTCGTTAACCCGCAGGACGACATGGACTCTCTGGACGACTTTGGCGCCCTAAAACCGATGGCGTCGCTGGAGGCGGTCGAAGGCAGCGCCGCTGCGCAGGGGAATGACGAGTGCGACATTGAAGACTTTCTTACAGACGATGACGAGGATGACGTCGTCACCTTCCCGACCGAGGGCATTCTCGACATTCTGTTTGATGGTGCTGGCGGCGGCGAGAGAGTGCATGGCGGGTCCATAGCAGGCCGCGCGCGCAACCAAGATCGCGATTACGACGCTGCCGTGGCGCGTATCAAGATCCTCTACTTCGGACTGAATCGCAGTCCTCCACAAGTCAACGAGAATACTTTTTCGAAAAGGTTTGGAATCCACCGCGAGGGCTTTGACAAAATCTACAGCGCGCTTGCGACAAGACCAGAGTTTGTCCAGAAGACTGACGCTGTTGGAAAGAGAGGAATCCATCCTCTTCAGCGTATCACCGGAGCCTTGCGAGTGTTGCGATATGGTGTGGCATACGATGCTGTTGATGAAATCGTCGCAGTGTCGGAATCGGTGATGGCTCAGACCGTGAAGTCATTCTGCAAAGCTATAGTGCAAGAATTTGGGGCGGAGTATCTACGCGAACCTAATGAAGATGACCTAATGCGCATACTTGCAGTAATTGAGTCGCGCGGGTTTCCTGGGTGTTTGGGAAGCATCGATTGCCAACACTGGGAGTGGAAGAACTGCCCGGTAGGATGGGCCGGTCAGTTCAAGGGAAAAGAAAAGAAGCCGACCGTAGCGATGGAGGCCATCGCGGATGGCGAACTCTAGATATGGCATCTATCTGTGGGTCATCCTGGGTCCATGAATGATTTGAATATCATGGACAGCTCGCGAACGATGCAGCGAATCCTTGCAGGCGAATCCCCCCTGCGCATACCCTACACCATCCACGGTACAGCACGTACCTTGCCCTACAACTTGGCAGATGGAATATATCCGCCGTGGGCAATCTTTGTGAAGACTGCAAAGGGCTCAAACGAGCGCAAGGCGAAATGCTTTTCGGCTCATCAGGAGGCGGTCAGGAAGGATGTTGAGCGTGCTTTCGGGGTACTCCTCTCGCAGTATCACATGCTACGACGTCCGTGTCGTATGTGGGACAAGAACGATGCAATGGACGTACTGCGCGCCTGTGTAGTACTACACAACATGTATTGCGAGGCGCGACGTGACAACTACAATGTCCCTCTGTACGCGCGCGCTACATCTAGTGAGCCATTCATCAGCGCAGTTCAATTCGCTCCTGACGCCGACGTCGACTTCCGCTGGGAAAACTCGGCGTCCGTCAGCAATTTAGCTCCTGCCGGAACATGGGCCGCGCTTGCTGCAGCTCGACGTGCAGAATCAGAATCAGAGGTCGCGCACTTCGAGCTGCGTTACGATCTAGAGCAACATCTTTGGCGTTGGAAAGACGCGGTGAGGCTGGCGCTTGGGGCACACGAGCGGGATAAAACGTATGACGGTGGAAGGAATTCAGTTGCCGGTCGCCGCAGTGCGCTGTGTAGAGTTTTGCAGTGATGTCACTTTTCCGAGCCGCGTACGTACACGGGCGATCACAACGCCGCCTTCATCCGCGAACCGCGCAGACGTCTTTTCGTCGCGACTACCTACACACCGCGCGCTGCGTTTCGCGTCTAGGGTACTGTAGTACCCGCCGGCACCGCGCCACCGCCGTCCCCTGCGTGCGGCAAATCAACGTGGGTCCCGTACCGCCCGCACCCATCGTGGCCCCACGTCTTGTCACCGGGGACCGTCTTTCCAAAAGGCCGTGCGTCTCCCTGCGAGCGAGCGCGGCGGCCGTGTCCCATTCGTGGTGCGCGGCGCCGACGTCGGCCCACTCGATGCGCGCGTCGTCGCGTGCGACGAGGAATCCGGCCTCGCCGACGTCCTGCAGCGCCCAGGTAGATCATGGAGCGCTTGGGGCGGTTGAGTAACTGCATGGAGTGGAGGGGGGGCGGCTGGAGGGGGGGCGGCTGGCGGGGGGGGACCTGCGTGCCAAGCGGAGGTCGGACGGCTGGAGGGGACGGCGCTGCGAGTCGGTGCGGCCCAAAAGCGGCGGGGGTCAGAGGCTCTCGGAGCGGGCGCGGCGGGTTGTCAGCGGGTATGGAGTGGCGCCGGAGTTAGGGGAAGCGCGTGGGGGGGACGTGCGGCGGTGACGTGAGGTCGGCGCGGTGCAGCGCGGCGGCGATACGCTGGTGACGTGGCAGGCGATGTAGAAAGAACAGCCAGACCACACCAGACGTAGGGTAGCGCCAAGTGGCCGCGTTACACTCTCTCGCGACTCGAACACGTGGCCACGTCTCGCCAAATGTACGCATCCTTGCCTGTCCATAATCCCTCGCCAACCCGCGCCCTGGCCCTCTCCGGCCCCCGCTTTCCACCCCCCGCCCCAACACTCCCTTCCCACCCGCCCCACTTCCCCCCGTCATCCGCTGCTCCCCTGAAGCGCGCGGACGCCGCGGCAGTGCGCGCCGAGATCTGCGACGACGCCGTCGTACGAGCCGTCGACGGCGAACACGAGGATCACGCGCACGGCGCCGCCGGCGACGACGCTGCGTACGCCAACGAGCAGGGCGCGCAGCGTGGCGCCATGGGGTCGCGCGCCCCACCGCCCACGAATTCTGAGGCCAACGCCCTCCCAGCCGCTGCGGCCCTCCAACACGCACACGGCGGCGCCGACGGCGGCGGCCACGCGGCCCGCGCGGCCGAGCGTAAGCGCGCCCAGGTCGACGGTGCCGCTCCAGAAGCGGCTGCGCCGCGGCGACAGCACAGCGGGCGTGCGGCCCAGCCCCATGCGCGCGTCGATGACGTTGACGCAGCGCCCGCCGGCGACGTAGACGGTCTCGCGTTCCGCCAGGTCGTGTAGGGCGACGGCGGCGTGGCAGGGTGCGGGAAGGCGGTGCGGCGGCGGGGTTGGGGGCGGGCGGCGTTGCGGAGGCGGTACACGTTGCGCCAGAGCGGGGTGTTGGTGGCGGCGAGATGGGCGCGGAGGACGCGGTGCGTGAGGGAGAGCGAGAGGCGGACCTTTTGCGGGAGCAGGGCGGCGAATTGGGCGAGTATATCCCAAGAGAGCGAGGTCAGAGAGGGGCGAGGCGCCCACTTTAATGCTGTGTACTATGCGCCGGCATGGCCAATACATCGACAGAAGCAGCTGAAACTACATCCGGGTCAGAATGACAGCTGGCCCGCGCAGGTATTGTACGCGAGGTCGGAGAGTTATTTTCCTGTAGTAGGGATTGGATGAGCTTCTGTCGCTTTGTTCGTAGAAAAAGCGCTTTCATCTCCTTGTCTTCTGATGTCTCGTCTGGCATAGAAATACGAAAGGCGAGCATTGCGTTGGCGTCTTCCATAGCAATACTCTTTCTCTTTATGCTCTCTCCTATAACACCCAAGCATTGAACTGCCTGCCTCTGTCGCAGTGCCATCTCTTCATCTGCTTTGGCGGCCTTTCTTCCCTTCATACCGCCTCGCGCCTGACGTGATCGAGGAGTAGTGGACGGCGGGTCTTCATCGGGAATACCATGGTCACTCTCGCTGCCAGTGACACTGCGTGTGGCATTTCCGGGATCCTCGTTACTGCCACCATTACCAATAGAGCCACCATCTTCATTTACATGCCCGTCGCCAAGATCTTGTACGCTGCCTGTAGCAGCGTGCGGTGTATTATTGTACTCGGAATCAACAGTATACTTTGGGTGCTGATGAAGCGCTTTGCATGCTTTGACGTAGACCCATTGATTAACGTCGAAATATTTGAAGTTGCACATGTTCCGTGCCTCTACATTTGTGGACAACGGATTAAACTCCTTTAAGTGCCGGGCAACTGCCATTGCAAATATGTTGTCTGCGCTCACACCTGTAGGATTGAACCCACGTACCTCTCGTAAACTCTTGTTGAACTTGGACACTTCCTTGGATACATCTCCAAACTTCGCTCGAACGGGCTGCTTATCGCGCCTCTTATAGTTTTCATCCATAGAAATGAAGTTCCTGTGAAGCCCTACGCGGAAGGCATCACTCGTCTGGTCAACGCCGAGCACAGGGTTCTCCGTTGTTGCCACCCACGTCTCAGCCAAGTGACCGAGCTCTTTGCGCGACCAGTTCGGACCGCGTACCATGACTCCAATTGCTGAGGACAGAAGCGCCACGTGAGATCCCGCGGTGTGCACCCCTCCTCGTCGAAGGAGGTGATTTCGGATGCCTTTTGAGGACCAGCTGTTCTGTTTTTCGCGCGCACATGTAATTACTAGCTGGTTTCCCGCCACCCCAGGTGTTTCTACTGTGAGATTTAATCGGAATTAATGGTCGCGCGCCCTAATCAGCTTGCGACGAGCTCGTGGCAAAAATCGCTTTGGGATACATCTCGTTGCAAATCGGCCTGATTTGCCACGAGAAAAACTCCAAACGCCGATTTAGAATTCGATTTACGATGCAATTTGCGTTCTTGTGTCGCGGTGGAGACCAAACTTTACCCTGATTTGGTAAATATCATATTTGGACCGAATTTGCTGCCGCGGTGGAGATGCTCTTAGGTGAGATGGCGGGAATCGGACAACCAAACTCGCGATGTTACCTATTCTCCTCAATTCCAGGTTTTGAGGCCTTAATTTTTGATATTTTATATGCCAAAGCCGTTGTTCCGCTATTTGGGGTCTTGTTCCATTTTTAGGGTACAGTACCCTTGGTACCCTCGAGTATATAGAGGTGCTCTTAGTGTACGGGACTCGATGTGTGCTGGAAACGTGTAATCCGTGGCCAGCTGTGGGCAGCAAAGCAGAACACATTCGATCGTAAAATTCGGAAGAAAGCTCGTCGGAAAACGTGTCGCCCAGCGCGTACCAGCCGGCACTGCAATCTGCGGTTCCACCCTTCCAGCCCGACAGCTTCGCATACATGTACGGGCCGTCGCTGCCAGCAGAAAACAAGTCATCCGCCCACATCATCGTCTCGCGCAACGCCACCCATCGCGCTCAATTAGTCGAGGGATCAGCCCGCGCCCCTCCCGGAATCCCTCCCCATCATCTTTGCATCTCAGCGCTGGAGCGCTTCCCGCGACGCCACGGACGCGCCCCCCCTCACCCACGCGGGCAAGCGCGCCGCCGAGCCATCCCCCCCACTCCCCGCGAAGCGCGTGCGACCGCACCCCGCTCACATGGACGACTCGCGCTCCAACTCCGTCAAGATGACCGACGCCGATGAGATTGACGAGGGCCTCTACTCACGCCAGCTCTATGTCCTGGGCCATGACGCCATGCGCGCCATGCAGAAGTCCGCCCTCCTCATCGTCGGCTGCGACGGCCTCGGCGTCGAGATTGCCAAGAACGTCATCTTGGCAGGCGTCAAGTCCGTCGCCGTGTACGATCCACACCCGGCCGCTCTGCCCGATCTCTCGTCCAATTTCTATCTCACGGAAGCTCACGTTTCCGCGAAAACCTCGAGGGCCAAGGCATGTATCAAGGACTTGGTCAGCCTCAACCCTTATGTCAATGTTTCGGTATACGATGGCATGCTGAATCTCAATGAACCCGACCGCAACGTCTTCTCATCCTTCGCCGTTGTCGTCATGGTCAATCAGTCACATGCCGCCCAGAGAGCGGTTGACTCCGTCTGCCATAAGGCGGGAGTCAAGTTTCTTTCAGCTTCTTCGCGAGGAGTCTTCGGCTCCATTTTCTGTGATTTCGGACCCTCCTTCATCGTCACGGACCCCACTGGCGAGCCGCCTCGCTCGGTAATGATCTCGTCCATCACGAAGGAGAACCCTCCAATCGTCACTTGCCTTGACGAGCAGCGCCATGATCTTGAATCTGGAGACTATGTCTCGTTCACAGAGGTTCAAGGCATGGTCGAATTAAACGATGGTAAGCCGCACAAGATCAAGGTCCTTGGTCCGTACACCTTCGCCCTTGAAGAAACCGATATTTCGTCGTTCGCTAATTACGTCCGAGGAGGTTATGCTACTCAGGTCAAGATGCCTGTTACCGTCTCGTTTAAACCTCTAGGTGATGCTTTTGCCTCTCCAGAGTATGTCATTACAGACTTTGCGAAGATGGACCACATGGACACTGTACACGCCTGCTTTGCTGCTGTCGATGAGCTACCAGGGGGATCTTTACCGAGGCCCGGTTCTGCAGAGGATGCGGCCACTTTCACGAAACTCCTGAAGCTTCGAGATGGCGAGCCGATTGCGTCAGTAGCCGAAGCGTTTGCCAGAACTTGCGCAGGTAACATTTCTCCGATCGCAGCTGGGCTGGGCGGTGTGGCCGCACAGGAAGTTCTGAAGGCCATATCGGGCAAGTTTATGCCGATTCGACAGTTTCTTTACTTTGATAGCATGGAGTGTCTGCCGAATCCATTGCCAAGCGAGGCCGATTGCGCCCCGAAGGGGTCTCGATATGATGGCCAGATCGCTGTCTTTGGCGCCAAGTTCCAGGAGAAGATCGAGAATCTCAAATACTTCTTGGTTGGGGCAGGTGCCATCGGCTGCGAGATGCTCAAGAATTTTGCAATGATGGGTGTGGGTGTTGGTCAAAATGGTGGTGTGATCGTAACCGATATGGATACCATTGAGAAGTCTAACTTGTCTCGTCAGTTCCTATTCCGTGATACGGACATTGGAAAGCCGAAGAGCATAGCGGCGGCGGGGGCGATTCTGCGAATGAATCCTGCGATGAAGGTGGTTGCACATGAAATTCGTGTTGGGCCTGAGACAGAGTCTACCTTCAATGACGACTTTTGGGAGTCTCTGTCGGGTGTTTGCAATGCTCTTGACAATGTTCAAGCTCGTCTCTACGTCGATCAGCGTTGTGTCTATTACATGAAGAGTTTGTTAGAAAGCGGAACGTTGGGCACCAAGGGAAACACGCAAGTCATCGTTCCTCATATGACAGAGAGCTATGGCTCCTCACGTGATCCACCAGAGAAATCCATTCCCATCTGTACGCTAAAGAATTTTCCGTACAGAATTGAGCACACGCTGCAATGGGCAAGAGACTACTTCGAGGGTGAGTTTAAGACATCTGCGGAAGAGTCAAATTCGTTTCTCAAGAGGGGCCAAGAGTATATGGATGAGCTACGGCGGCAGGGGCCTGGCACGATGCTGGCCACCCTCGAAATGTTGAATGCTTGTTTATTGGAAGACAGGCCCAATTCCGTTCAGGATTGTGTGGAATGGGCACGCAGGGCTTTCGAGAAGCTCTTCAATGGAGAGATCCGGCAGCTTCTGCACACTTTCCCGCGCGATAATGTGGATAAGAACGGTGTGCCTTTTTGGTCTGGTACAAAGCGTGCGCCCAATCCAGTTGAGTTTGATGTCAACAACGAGATGCACTCGGAGTTTATCATTGCGTCAGCGTGTTTGCGAGCGGAGAACTATGGATTGCGAGTTTCCCACGCAGATATTGCGCAAATGGGGAAGCAAGCATCCGCGGTCATGATTCCTGAATTTGTGCCGAAATCGGGTGTCAAGATAGCGACAACGGATGCGGAAGCCAAGGCTCAGATTGATAACCCAGGGGATGCAGACGATGCTCGAATTGAGGAACTCGTGACGAAACTGCTGCACGAAAAGTCTCTCGCCGGCTTCCAAATGACGCCTTTGGAATTTGAGAAGGACGATGACTCCAATCATCACATTGATTTTATCACCGCCTGTTCAAATTTGCGCGCGACGAACTATTCTATCGAGACTGCCGACAGGCATCAGTCCAAGAGAATTGCCGGAAAGATCATCCCAGCAATAGCCACGACCACGGCATTTGTGACAGGCATGGTGTGCGTTGAGTTGTACAAGCTGGTGCAGATTGGCGTCACAGATATTGCTCAGAACAAGGATGATGGCGCATGGGCTCGACCGAACTCAGATGCCTACTCTGCGGAAAACGAGAAGGCTACCGCAAAGACGCTTGAGCTATTCAAGAATGGCTTTGCCAACCTGGCACTCCCATTCTTTGCGTTTTCAGAACCGATGGCTGCTCCCAAGACAGAAATGGGCCACGGACGGAAATGGACACTCTGGGACAGGTTTGATATCAACGAAGGTCGGGACATTTCTCTCGAAGAATTTTTGAAGTTGTTCAAGGATAGATTCGGTCTTGAGATAAGCATGATTTCCTGCGGCGTCAGCATGCTATATTCTTCTTTCACTTCGGCTGCAAAGCTGCGTGAGCGGATGCCTATGCCACTGTCTAAAGCTGCTGAAACTGTTGGGAAAATGCAGTTTACCGAGTCACAGAAGTATCTCGTTCTTGAGGTCTGCTGCCACGATGATGATGGTGAAGACGTAGAGGTTCCGTATATTAGATACTGCTTCAAGCATTGATCTATGAGTTCCCAATTCTAATAAAATGCCATGAACAGTGTCTTTGAAACAAGAGTCAGCACAGAAGTCTACTGAAGTGGTTGTGCATATCATATCCGATACTTGGTCCTAGAAGCGCTTGGAAATTATTTCCGAAAAAGTGCAGGCTTCGTTGTTTATCGTTTCCGTCGGAAGCTCGAGCAGCATTGTTTATGTATTTCTCATGCGCAAGCACCACAAACATGTCAGGTCTGTGATATCACCAAACGCAAATTGTAGGAAAAACTTTACTTGAGATAGATTTAAGGGCTTGTATTGGAACGAATCGGTCGGATGTTGACGAACAAGGCCGAGTTCTTCTCAATTGGGGCTGGGAATGTGGTACTGTGGTAGGAGTAATCTTCCCTTCAGGCTTTGAACGTGTGAGAGCTGCAATTACCTACAAAACGGGTGCCTCATCGACGTTTGGTGTCGATAACATGGCTTACACAGCAGCACTAAAGATTACCGCATAATTCCAAATCTCATTTGACGTACGCCGAGGCCATGGTGCTGCCGTACTTCAAGATAGCCTTTGCTTCTTTGACTTCTTCCGCGGTGTGCCTCAACTTGGGCTTCATCATTTCCTGGTACATTTGCGAGTCCTTGTACCAGAACTTAGTCCAATTGCCGTACTTGGCATTCCAAGCGATTTCCGCATCGCGTATACCTTGCGGAGACGGACTCCAAAAGACACCTGCAGGGAACGACATAACTGGGCCGGCTTGATCCCGGGCGGCATTTTCTCCGCGCCAGGCCGTTGGCAGGCCCTTCTTAATGCCAACCGACTTAAAGCCCGCGTAATCACCAGTGGGGAGCACGGCCGTCGCCAAGATGCGGTCCGTGGATGTGTACGTCCCGTTCAGGGCGCAGATCTTGTTCATATCATTGTTGTACGGATGTCCTCCCCGGAAGTTGACAGCGGGGATGCGAGACTCGCCAAACAGGATATCGTACTCATCTGAATCCATGTACGAATTGATCTCCGCATTGTATCCCTGCTCGGTGATGATTCTGATGTGCTCGCTCACCTCTTCCTGATTATGGGGGGCGCGGCCGAGGAAGTGAAGGAAGTTGCATTCGACAAAGCGGGTGTTGCTCGTGGCGTCGAAAAAGCGCTTTCTATAGGCGTTGGAGAGGCCGACCGCGCGCACAAACTCCTTCATATTGGCCGTCTCCGTGACGCAGCTAATCGACGTGGCAAGCTCTGCCAGCTCGCTCTCGAACATATTGGCGTTCCCAAGGACGTTTCTCAAGGCCACCCTGACGCCAACTCTGGCCTCATCGCTCGACCAGCCGGGGCGAGCCCATAGCAAATCGTCCGTGTACGGGTCCATGTTGCGGAAGGTGCCCTGCTCATTGACTCGGCGATTGGTGGTGTTCGTCTCGCGGCCGACGCGCACGTCGTACGCGGTGGCGTTGTGCCCCTTGGCGTCCGCGCGGAACTCGGCGCGCGCCGTGGGCGGGTTGTAGAACTTGGGGATGCCCTTCCCTGTGGGCGTCGGCGTCGGCGCTGGCTTGCGCGCGGGCGGCGCCGCGGCAGGCGCCTGTACGGTGCGTCCGCCAATGGTGAGCTCCGAGGCCACCGGGTTGGCGGGCGTGGCCGGCGCGCCGTTGCTTTTGCCGAAGTTGGGGAGCGACGGCAGCTTGGGAAGCTTGATGGCCGAGATGTCGGTGTGGACCGGGGCCTCTGCCCGGCGCGTGGGCCGCGAGGCTACCGGGGTGCTGCGGCCCGTGACGAAGACGCGCGAGGAGGAGAGCGGGAGCCCGGGCGCGGGGACGAAGGCGGGCATGGTGGACGCGGGTGGGTATGCTGTGGCGCGGGTCGTGGCTGCGGTTGCGGGCAACGTTTGTCCAAGAGGTTAGGCTGACGGAGACGACAGGAAACGTCAGGCTGGGGACCGAGGGATGAAGGAGACTGGGGCACATCTCAAAAGATCTTGTAACCCTACCAGCACGAAGGCTCTGCTTTCCTGCCACAGGACCTCGCCGAGCTCTTCGAGATTATACTCATTTCTGTTTACAGAACATTACAGGTTGACCTGTGAAGTTCACAGTGTGAACTGCCTACTCCTACTCATGCAGGGCTCCGTCAGTCGGGTGCTCTTACCTCACCTCATCCTTCGTCTTCTCCGCCTTGGACCTGATGGCGCTCACCTGCTTCAACTTGCGTACGGCGTAATCAACTTCAAGCGCCTCCACTTGCAGGTATCGCTCCACGGCGTTGGACAGCCTTCTATCCCGCAAGTAGTGCATCGAGTTCGTCACGGCCGGTTCGAACCCGCGCATGTACTTGAAGTCCCCGCCGCCAGCCCCCGGTTCCATCCTGCCAAGCCCGTTCTCAATGCAATACTCAATCGCCGCGTAATAGCACGCCTCAAAATGGAGGAACCTCACCTCTTCCATGCATCCCCAGTATCTTCCGTAGAACGCGCCCCCGTCCCCTTCACCGATCACGTTGAACGTCCCGCCCACCACCTCGCCGCTCCCCTTCCGCTTGGCAAGCACCAAGCAGATACTTCGCTTGAATTTCTCGCATCTCGCCAGCATCCGGAAGAACCGCCTGCTCAGATATTGACTTCCGTACAGTTGCTTGTCGATCGTCGACTTATAAATACAAAACATCGTATCCATCACCTCCTCATCAATCTCCTCACCGCGCTTCACCACAACCTCCAACCCCGCGTCCTCGCGCACCCTCGCCCGCTCCCGCCTCATCTTTATCCGTCGCTTCGACTTAAACTCTCCCAGATACTCTTCAAAATCGCGGTACGGCACGCGCTTCCCCTCTTCCACACCCGCGTACCCTTCTACATCCCCACCCCCCTCTATGCGCTTCTCCAAATCCGCTATCGCATCCTTCCCCTTGTTATAGTTGGTAAAATGGTACTGCACGCCCTTCCGATGCAAGAAGCCCGCGGCCGCCAGCGCCTCCACCTCATCCGCCTCGCAAAAGTTGACATGCACCGAGCTAATCTGCATCCTGTCGACAATTTGCTTGAGGGCCTTAGCAACGGCACGCAGCACGCCCTCCCTCTCCCGCGCCTCCATGCCGGGCCAGGTGAGCACGCGCCTCCCCGTGGCCGGCGTGAACGGCACGGCCAGCAGCAGCTTCGGGTAGTACTCCATGCCCGCGCCATAGCATGCGTCGGCCCAGGCATGATCGAACACGAACTCGCCCATGGAGTGCATCTTGAGGTAGGCCGGCGCCACGGCGACCACGCGCCCGCTGTCGGCCTCGCGCACGACCTGGTGGTGCGGGGTCCACCCGGTGTCCGCGCTCGCGCACCCGGACGCCTCGAGGCAGGCCAGCCAGAAGTGCGCCAGGAACGGCGAGCGCGAGCCCCCGCGCGCCAGCGCGTCCCACTGCGCCGCGTCCAGCTCCGACACCGAGCGCAGTGCGCGCACCGTGTACGCGCGCGGCGCGCGCTCGGCCGGCGGCGCCAGCGCGTCGCCGGCGCTCATGTCGAGCTCCGTCCCGTGTTCCAGAAATGGCTCACAGGGAC